TCAAAAATATTTTCCCCAGAGAAAATATTCCGAAAATACCGAGCAACCTGATTCTCAATAGGACTTGTAAGACCCAAACTGAAATTATGGGAACTCTCGAATTGCTTAGCAAGTTTCTGAGCATTTCCAAATTTGTGATCAAAATTTTACCACCTTCTTTAAGCGCTGGAATTGGCTTTTGAGGTTTTTTCAAAATTTTTGTGAGTTTCCAAAAGGGTTTGGAACTCGGGTCTAATTTAGAAACATTATTTTCAAAAGTTTTGTTCCTCAGGGCAGAGAATCGCTTTTTAATTTGTTTTTGCAAATCCCGCCAGATAACTTTCATGGCAGGATCGCGTGTTCTTTGAAATTGTCTCCTACGGACATTTTTAAGACGGATCAAGAGCTGAAGATCGTCGTCTATTATAATTGAATCGAATTTAACCTCGCATTTTGGTACTGAGGCAGCTCTTGCTTCAACTATAGAAGTAGTCAGAGATTCAAGAGCATAATTAATTTCATCTTTGGTTTGCAAAGGAATGTTTGGATTGAAGTTATATTCCATAAATGTTCGATAATGCTCCCAATCAGCCCTATGGTAATTGAAAGTAAAGCTGTTGGGATTAGAAATTATTTCTTGGGATATTTCAAAAGTTACTGGAAGGTGATCAGAACCGAAGTCAGCATGGGTAACCAATTGGCTACAAAGTTGACATGAATCAGTTAAGACCATATCAATAGTGGAGGGATTTCTTGCAGAAGAAAAGCATGTTGGGCTGTTTGGATATTGAATAGTGTAATAACCTGCAGAACAATCATCAAACAGAATATTACCATTGGAATTACTTTGAGCATTATTCCATGAGCGGTGTTTTGAATTAAAATCACCAATAATGAAGAATTTAGACCTATGACGGGTAAGTTTCTGGAGGTCACCCTTGAGAAAATTCTTTTTCTGGCCTACGCATTGGAATGGCAAATAGGCAGCTATAAACGTAAGTTGTCCAAATTTTGTTTCAACAGAAACTCCCAAAGTTTCAAAAACTTTGGCTTCAAATGAAGAAAGAATTTTATGTTTGATTCGTCTATGAATAATGATGGCAACGCCACCACAGGGTCCATCAAGACGATCATTTCTATAAATCAAGTAATTTGCGTCCTTCTTAACCTTATGGGCAGGTTTAAGGAACGTTTCAGTTATAACGGCAATATGCACGTTATGAACTCTCAAAAAGTTAAATAGCTCGTCTTCATTATCTTTAAGAGATCGAGCATTCCAATTTACAATATTTAATGCTTTAAAATCCATTACTGAATTTTAAAGTCATGACAATTTTATTTGCAAATTTTACTCCAGTTTGAATAGCATCAAACATGGAGTTAGATTTAAGCATATCAGAAATCATGTCAATTAATGAATTCTGTAAAAATTTCATTTTGGGGGCAGTAATGCTTCCTAAGTCAAAATTGTCAAAATTTCCGTTAGAACGTTGGTTAGTATTTTGATTTCTACCCGCTGCAATAGCAGCATAGGTAGCTCCATTAACTCGCTGAACATTGTTAGCAGCGAGGGGAGTAGGTACAGATGAAAAATTTGAAGCAGGGGTGATATTTGTACCTACGGGTACGAATGTAGAATTTGTTCCTCGCTGACCGTTGTTAACAGCAGAGGAATTTGTACCTGGTCGGAAACGTTGAGCGTTTCCTACCTGTCGGTTAGAACGAGATTGTAGGATCGCTTTGCGAGTCTTACATTCCCAAAAATTGGATTTGTGGTTTTCACCACAATTTGAACATTTAAATTTCTTAGGATCTTCCTTCACAGGACAGTCGTCCTTTGCGTGAGAGGAATCACCACAATTCATGCATTTAGCTGGCATGTAGCAATTTTTAGTTCCGTGACCCCATCCCTGGCACTTACGGCACTGAGTGAGGTTTTGGAAATTTCCTCCAGTCTTCCTGAAGTGTTCCCACTTCACTCGGACATGGAGCATAAGGCTAGCTTTTCCTAAGGCCTTAAGGTTGTTTAGTTCACTAGACTTGAAGTGAACTAAATAAAAATCATTAGAAATCCCGTTGCGCGAATCGCCAGGACGGGATTTCATTTTCATTTTGATTACTTGGAGTGGCACAACTCCAAGTAATTTTGCCAGTTCATCTTTGATCTGATCCAGGGATTCACCACTGGGCAGTCCTTTCATGACAACCTTGAACACACGTTCAGTTTTGGTGTCGTAAGTAAAAAATTTGTGCTTCTTCTCAGTAAGATACTTGAGAAGACATTTAAATTCGTCCAAGGTTTCAGCCAATACACGGCATTCACCCCGACGTCCAATTTGTAGTGAAAACTTAACTTTCACGAAATTCAAAAGTTCCATGCGAAGAGCATGGAAATCGGTAGTGGTTATCACAATAGGGGGAATCTTTTCCTTCTTGGCATTAAGCCGGGAAAGTTTACTAGAATTTTTCTTGGATGATGGATCATTCTCATCATCCGTGAGCAAATCAAATTGATTACTCAAATTAATTTCTTCAGAAGGGGGGTCAAGAGTTTGCCCCTTTCTTTTGCGTTTAGGCGCCATGGCGGCAGTAAATTTTTTTATCCAAATCGACTTCCAAGCAGATTACTATAAGAATCTGAAGGATCGAAGAGGAATTTTCCAAATCGATATCCAAGAAGGATTACCTCGGGTAGGGTCCAAACAAGGATCGAAGAGGAATAAGAGGAGTTGAACAAGGTAGAAAATTTTTACAGGTTGAGCACTGAAAAGTGCTGTTTAAATTTGTTGTAGCTTTAGGTAGTAGTAACACTTCCTTAAGCAAAAAGCAAATAGATCCGCACGGCAAGAGAGCACGATGCGGACTGTACATCATTTCCGTATTCGTCCCATTAAGAAGGTAATGTTTGGCAGAGTCACCAGCACCAAATTATCGGGGTACTACTACAACTAGAAAAAAGGCACGTATAGTGGAGGTCAGGCATGGACAATCATTTGCATTCATTTCGTGCTTTACATTCATTTGTCCTTAACTTTTTTATCAACAGATTTCCGCAAAATGATGAATGGAACTTTTGTAGGTTTTGTTATAAGCTACAACTTTTTCAAACAACTCAAATCCGTATCTCTTATGTATGACGAACCAAAGCCAACAGAAGCCACTACTTTTTTTTTCAATGAATGTATTTAAGATTCACTGAAAAACAGTAACAAGTTCTGCCCACTCTAATTCGTGATGCATAATAGATACAGATTTGAGATACAGGCAAAAGTTGTAGTTAATAACAAAACCTACTAATGCTCTTTACATCATTTTGCAGAATGCTGTTGATGAAAAAAGTTAGAGGCAAATGAATGTAAATGAATGCATGAAATGAATTTAAATGATTTTCCATGCCTGGTGGAGGTACGGTAGTGCTATTTGTTCCTATAATTGCATATGGAGCGCTCTCACACCTGGACTCTAACAATCAACCCATCAACTCATGGACTGGGGACCAACGGCTCAGAAATCGTATGCCTCAGAAAATCCCAACGACGCTGACTGGTGTTGAACCCAGGCAGTGTCTGCTTTTATCATTTACCATCACACGCAAGGAGTGGCGCTTCAACCAAGTGTTGATTAATTGTGTTTGTTTTGAATATCTTCGCTGTCACGTACGAGCGAATCGAGCAAATAATTTCAAAATAAATCAACGAATACGCGTTTGTTCATGCAGTGCTTGATTATCCAACCAAAAATTATCAAAATCATAAGCGATCCTCAAAATCAAAATAATTAATTTCATTTTGGTCAAAATGATATTTTGAATATTGTCCACCCCAGGACCTCGATATAATAATCAATTCAACATGAGGGAATAATTTTGCATCGATGTGTAAAAATTAACACAACACGTTTACACCACTTTATTTGTTTAATATGAAAATAATCATTTAGCAATTGATCCTCAAAATCATCGCCACAAAGTTGAAGACAAATATTTATATTGACAACCAAAGATGCAAATACTCATTTCAGCTAAAACAATGTTTTTTTTTTTTATTTAATTATGAAATAATTCGATGCTAGGATCATATTTTGAATAGGTAAGATACAAGAATAGGATACAAAGAATGTTTTTGACAAATTAAACCTGTTTATTTCACATCATGAGAATCACAATCAGCGATTTTTCACACACTCTAGCCAGCTATCAGAAAATCGCTGATTGTGAGTCATTGAAAGCAGAATTTACAGGTTTTATATATCAAACGCATACTGTGTAACCTCTTCTTATTAGTTACAAGTAAAACATGACATTTCACCATCTTTTTGTTTTATTATTCCGAAAAACATTATTTTAGCTGAAATGAGTATTTGCAACCTTGTTGACAACAACACAGGCGATAATGAAGATTCAGCCACGAATGAACAAAAACAAATGATGACTTCGATATTCAGAGGTTGCCTTGATCAAGAGAATCCTTTTATGTCAAAATTTAAATTCAGGCTGGTAGTTGGTCTATCTTTTAAGGTTGTCCTCATGTTCAACTACGTTGATATTTATCAGCACTGAACTCAGGTCGTTTGAAGTGAGAGGCAGTCACGCTTACCACTACACTACCGAAGCCGCTGAACGTTTATTGTATTTTAGGAATAAGCATATTGGAAAGATGATACAAAACCCAATCTAAATCCGCTAAAATAGACATTAAATTGACACTCGTTTTCGGTTCATTTCTGAACTTGCCTTTGTGGTTTGCATTCGATAATCCATGGATCCATCCTCAAAAAGCTGCCGATTTTCCTTGGCGTGGAATTAATCTTTTGTGTCACCTTTGAATTTGATCGATTTACACTCAAAAAGCTCAATAACCCGTCCATAGCAACGCCAAAGTTCGTTCAAAGCCATGTATAATGCAATCTGAAAGTACACGGGCATGTGGCCACATTCCAGCGCACATTGAAGATGGCATCCATGCAAGATTTTTCTTTTTTAATATTTTTTTATCGCCTCATTCTTTTTCTCTGCCATACAGATATGCCGAAGTGGAGAACCATCCGGAAGCTCGTGGCCTCGAAACTGCACTGGAACAGGCTCTGAAGGAAGCCGTCGACGATGACACCTACCGAAAGGTGAAGCGGATGAGCTATTCGGGCAATGCTGCAAGTGAGGTATGTTCCCATTTACACCCAACCGAGGAATGTAACATAATCTTACAGTTGTGTAATTATGGTCGATGTGTGAATCTTCTTTCTATTTCTTTTGCCCATAAGAAACATATGCAGATAATGTAATAAAAAATACCCATGATTGCATTTTTCGAATCAGATATTTGGTTTGGGTGTAAATAGTCGATACTGGATCGGCCCTAGCGTTAGTTTCTACAAAACACCTATAAATAAATCCTTCCCAAGCATCGACGTCCTTCGTGGTGTTGGCATGGATGGCAATCGATAAGAGGTGATAATGGTAGAGATTTATGGCTATTGCTTCTGCAACGTTGACATTGCCCCTTCGCGATTCAGTTGGCATTCTGTTTTCGACTTTTGAAAGTGTTGTTTTGAACTGGAAATTGCACTCGGTTCATAAACGGAACGATAAAAGTTTAGATTTTTCCATTCCGGACCCAGATTCTTTTTGCCCAGTTGTCGAGTGGGACTTCTTTCGATGCCAAGTCAAGTGAAATGACATGCAATTATTGCTGTCATCAACTGGGAAATGAGATGGAAACTGCGCTCGGAAAATTATAAAAAAGTAATCGCAAATTTGTCACGATTTCCACCAGCACCAGCTTCTTGAAACAAAATGGCAAGTTCTCGCATTATTGTTTGCAGTTGCAGTTATTGGAAGAGATGATTTTCGAGTACACGAGGGAGCACGATGGCGGGCTGACATAAAGCGCGAAGCGTTTTGTTGTTTTGCAATTGCAACGGATGTGCACTTTGAGCGGGCGCGTGGAAAGCGTGGAGAAGGATGGATGCTGTTGCTTTCATCATTCGTTTGAACCGACGGAGCGTGAAAATGGCCTCGGCAGAATGAAAAAAAGTAGCATCCATGCCAAGCACTACAAATAATTCAACACGACTGCCTGGTCGTCGAGCAAAATGTGCATAATGTGCTGCATTTGTCTGCTTTGTATTAGAGTCAACTTGCCGACAGCCAGTCACTGCTATGCTAGATGAATCAGTTGTGTTCGCACAACTCTAGTATGGGAGTGCATTTTTTTAGGGAATCGGCATAAAATTCTTATTTATATTATAAAATGTCACACTCGTATCATTTTTCTTGGTGCCTAATGCGAGAATGTGCGTTAGTTGTGTTTTTGTTTGTGGTTTTTAGATGTCTCTTTTATGATTTATGTTCAATTTGTTTGTTAATATATCTTAGGAAAAAAAAGATGTGGATGATTTCAGAAAAAAAAGCAAACCACCTGCCAGGTCGGTTCATAACTCCAAGGTGTGAGTATTAGACTGATGCAAAATTTGAAATTTTCGCTCCACAGTGTTCAAACGGTTTCAAATCGGGTCCTGATTAGCCTCGGAAAGATTAAACTCATTTGATAAGAAACTGACCTGGCACAAACCATTTGAAGTTTATATGGAAATTACTATGGGAAAACAAAACTTTTTGTTCATTGTCTTCTAGCCTTTTTACTTATTGTACTGTTAACAAATTCTATAGCTATTCTTATGCGAACTTTTATCCGCAACAACGTCAAATTAAATAGTTATTAATTGTTTAAGAGATTGATAATCTTATCGCAAGATTAAGCAACTGTATTGTGGGCAACACTGTATTATGCAGTGTGACATAGTAGCCATGAATTTTGTCCTCTATTCTAAGCGCTATAAACACCAATGTTGCCTGCTGAACAGTTGATTAAGCACAATCATAAGACATCAGTGACTTGAATCATTAATAATTTTCTGTTCCTTACATTTGATCGAAAAGTGATTGTCAACAAAGTTGTAGCTGAGGAATTTTTTAACAAGCTCAGCTATCATTTTCTAAAGTAGAGTGAACTGGTAAATTTTGAGATCGATATGAATCGAAATTACGGCTTCTCCATAGTAATTCCCATATAAACTTCAAATGGTTTGTGCCAAGTCAGTTTCTCACTAAATGAGTTCAAATTTTGGGAGGCTAATCAAGGCCCGATTAAGAACCGTTTGAGCACTGTGGAGCGAAAATTTCAAATTTTGCATCAGTCTAGTGAGTATGTACAAATATGATAAAGATTGACCACACCGTTTGAAAAATTCATGTAAATTTCTGCGAGATATAGCGCACATAAAATTAACGCTAGATTTGGCATACATTTACACGATATTTTGTGTAAATTTAAGCGCACTATCGCTTAAATTAGCAACATTGTATGCAAGCTTGTAAACGATTCTGTTGTTTATGCCAACTGCAGCTCAAAATTAAACGAGGGAATATTTTATGCGATAGTTAAAATTCAGAAGTTTTTTTCAGTGCAGGACCAGAGTTGTTAATGACGTTCTATTAGGGGAAGTTTACCGCTCCGAAAATCAAAATGAAATTTCGACACGTTTTTATTTTTCTAAAAATATTGGAAAAAATCATCAAAAATCCAAGCAAATAGGATTTTTTCTTAGATTCCCGAAAAAATGTACATGTTAGAATATGTTTTATATCTCACCATTAAAAAAATAGACCCTCAGCAAAACCGCAAGGTCACCGTTTTGTTGTTTTCATGCCATGATGAGTTACAAAAAATGTTTTTGCACGTGAATTTTCTTAAAAAAATGCTCTTTTTAGATTTTTGATATCTTTTCTAATATTTTTATAAAAATCAATATGTAATTATTTTCTTCAGAGCCGTGAACTTCCCTTCACAGACACTAACGGCGTTTACGTCATTAACAGAGTTGCGACCTATCACAATCACGATCGTCAAACAGCTGATGGTAGTAACGCTTGGTACGCTTCTATCAATGTGCTAGTCGAAGCACTCTCCATGACCATAGAAGTAAAAAGCAACTGGTGAATGTCGTCTTCGGTGGTGATCCATCACCTATCTGGTCAGTCCCGACAATCACAACTCTCATCTGTGCTCGTTTTGAATCAGTTGCTACTTTGCTTGCTTATGTGAGTGTGTTGGTGAGTGAGTACAAACGAATCCAATTCGTTTAATTTTGCCAGCTTTGTTTGTAACTCACACAGTAACGCGTGCCGAGACAAACATGGTATGCGTAGGCATTGTTTTCATTTTCTTCTGTTTTGGATCGCCTTTTCACATCATCGTACTGTTTTCGTTGTGCATTACATCATCAGCAGTGAGTGTTACGTTTTGCCTGTGAGCAGCGACCATTACTGATGATTGTTGTTTGCCTTGGCTCTACTTCTCATTGCGTGACAAAACGTTCTGTCAGTGATAGTCGGTTGATGCGTAATTGTTAAACCTATCATAAATCAGTCATTTTTTAATCGATTTTTCAACTATCCACAAAAAAAAACCACATACTCCTCAAGTTATGATGAGAATACAATGATTTTGTTTTTATTTTAAACTCTGACATATTTTGAATTAAAATGGGGTAGTTTTTGACGTCGGGGTAAACAACCCTGACCAGGAACGAGTGGATTATGGATCGCATTATGATTGCAGGTCTTCCTGTACTATGGACGGACCATGCGGTTAGTAGTTTGCACTCTGTAGTTTAGTAGTCTGTTTGCTCGTATTACGAAATAATGGAAAAAAGATGGTAGCAAGAATGTTGAGGTTACTGGTAGTCTTGTGCGAGCTCCATGTTATTTAGGTGTTGATACCCGTCCACAAGGAATCAAAAATATCTCAAACTTACAAAATGACAAGCGATCAAACTGCCTTTTCAATATAGCTGGCTCGGACCGGTATACAGTGGGCAAAACTTGACAAAAGTGCGACTAAATTGAATATCTCGGCTGCCAAACGGTTTCAGTCAACATGTTATACATAAAGGGTGTCCACGATGAAATTGCCACACACAAAATTGATTCGCAAAATTCGAGTTTTAATCCGATTGCCATCAAATTTTCAGGGATTGAGAAATAACTATTAAACTTCATTTTACCATTTTACTCGTATTTTATTTACAGTCCATACGAAATGCCCGCACCTTGGCCTTAAACCCGGCCATAAGATTCTGCACAACCTGTGAATCAACCGTTTTTTGCATGTAAACCCATACTTTCTTCAGTTCCTCGACTGCCTTCACTACCTTAGGTCGTTTAAGAAGGTGCTGCTTCATAATCGCCCAGTACTTCTCGATAAGGCGGAGCTCCGGAGTGTTGGGAGGGTTGAACATTTTCGGCACGAAATTGACGTTATTGTCCGCATACCACTTCAGCACGTCCTTGGAGTAGTGGCATGAGGCCAAATCCGGCCAGAAGATTGTTGGGACGTTGTGGGCCTTCAGGAGAGGAAGCAGCCGCTTCTGGAGGCACTCTTTTATGTACACCTGTCCGTTCATCGTGTCATGGGTCACGAAAGGTGGACTTCGCTTCCCGCACGTGCAGATGGCTTGCCAAACCAGGAATTTCTTCGCAAATTTGGACATCTTCTGAGTGCGGACATGCTCCGGAACGCTGAACTTATCCTTGGCCGTGAAAAACAGGTTGCCGGGGATCTGTTTGAAGTCGGCCTTCACATATGTTTCGTCGTCCATGATGCAGCATTCAACTTTCGTCAGCATGTTGAGGTACAACTTCCTGGCACGGGTTATGGCGGACTTGTTCTGCTTCTCGTCGCGATTAGGGGCCTTTTGTACCTTGAACGTTCGAAGCCCAGCCTTAGTTTTGGCCTTCTGGACAAAACTTCGGCTTAGGTGCAGCTTCTTAGCCACATCCCTAACGGAGGCGTTCGGATTTCGGTTGAACTACGCGGTTGTGATTTTTGGTGTTGTACGGAATACTTTTTCCTTCACTTCTGGGCTTCCGATCGGTGGTCAACCGTTCCTCGAACCGCTTAATCACTCGCGACACCGTGAAATTCGCGATTCCCAACGTTTTAACGATGGAACGATGCGAGAGATCCTTGTTATCGTGATGAATGCGCAAGATTTTATCACGCACGAGCTGTTCTTTCGACTCCATTTCCGCGAGTTTTGATCACAGGACTTTAAAACTTGCAGGATGTAAATAATGCACTATGAACTAAATCCACCCA